GTGGTTGACTAGGTCTGGTGAATAGAGAGAAGAGAGAGAGAGAGAGAGAGAGAGAGAGAGAGAGAGAGAGAGTATGGTGCTCCCTCCCTCCAAACAACTGGCTTTCAATAGGACTTAGTATTGATGCCTCTGCTGGCGCCACTATTCCATTCCATTGCATTGGCTGTGTCTCCCCTCGTTTCCTCAATTAGATAGTAGTAGTGACAGTCTCAATGAAGTACCTTCTCTGCTAGCCCCCAGGGCAGTCAAACCAAGATATATTCCATAAATATTTCCTTTGTTTATCTTGCATAGATTACTATTGAAAGTTCGCAAATGGTTTTAGTGATTTTGTGATACATAGATTTTTATTATTTTTTCAACAATACATACTATACATGTATTTAAGTCAAATTTTTCATGAAAACATTTTTGGAGTTTGACAGAGACTCAAATAATCGTTGAGTTGTTGTTATCGTGATAACCCAAGGTACTTCTCAAAGATGCTTGCATGTATACATTGTCATGTCAGCTCTCTGTGACATGTTCTTAAATCTGCAACTTAATAATTCGTGGAATTTTTTAAAATGAAACCCTCCTGAAATGCAGCATATCTCAGACTGTTAGCTCAACTTGTGACTCTTGTATCATATATATCAATTGAATTCAATATAAGACTTGTATATCTAGTGTAACAACCTAACATTGAATATTAGAATATATATTTCCCATTATTTCTGGTACAATCTTTAGTCTAGAAATAAATGAGATAGTTAATTAGATATCCCATATTTTTTGATATGACAAAGTAATCCATAAATCAAATTTCAACACCACACAATATTTTCACCATTGTACTGACATCACAAACGGCAACGTTGTCTAGGTTTCATGGCAATGATACACTTTCAAATGGTCAATGACTCTCCTTTATCTAGGGGAAGAGTCTTCATATTGTAACCATTTTATATATTGCCTGAAGGAATCGAACAATAGTGGTTTTGAGGTTTCTAGAAAACCAACAAGCACTTCTGTGATGGTCATTAATTTAGAGAGTTTGACACACAAAGCTTTCATGTGAATGTATTAAGATACCCAAGACTGATTATTGAATATTAATGCTCCCATCTCATGGCTCAGGCAGTCAGTCTGTCTGTCTCCGCTTTGCTTCTATTCCTCTCTCTCTTTCTTTCTCTCACTTTGCCCTATATTCATTGATGGAGAGTGTAGCTAGGAGCGATCATTGTTCTATTGTAACATTTCCGGTGCCGGCAGACGAGCGAGTGTGATCCTAACATTATGGTCTTCATTACCAACTACAAAGATCTTGCAAGGAACATGATATCTGAGCTGCCTCAAATATCATACCATTTCCATTCCATATTTGGTTATCTGAACTTCAGTCTGAAGATTGTCAGTAGATTTGATGTACATGTAGACTCACACCATTCATCAAGTAGCTTCCGTATGACTTGACTAGAGTTGTGAGGAACTGAGAATTGGATATCTTCATTGCAAATCGAAACAGCATTCAAAGGACTCAGAAACTTTGAATACATAGATGTATGTGATGGATCTTATGTGGATAAGTGTGATTTATCTTCATATTTCTTTTATTTTGGTGGTTTCATTACCTACTCAGTCATCTGACAGTAAGTAGAAGATAACAACTTTTAATAGGTATTCATTTCAATTCAAATCATTGCCGAAAAATCATATTCTGGTTCTAATTTGATGATGATATTGACACCTATCTCTCTTTTTGTTTGTTTTTAATGTTTTATTTATTTTTTTAAATATGGACAGTAACTGTAGTTGTACAGGTGTCAGGTGTTCCTTGATGGTGCCATAGAACCATATTATTGTGTGTTATATTCAGTGTAGGAATCATTTGAAAGTATTAATTGTGACGATATGATGTAGGAATGAAGGGATGGATGGTAACTTGGATGGATGGATGTGAAGAGAGGAAGAAAGTTGAGCTTGTATGGTGTGGTGGTGTATGCACAGGTGGTGCTGCTTCACAACCTATCTAGGTCATGTTTGAGAAGTAAACCTTCCCATCATTCATAGAATACATGTCCATCATTCAACACAATGTAATGGGCTTGATGACAGGAGCTTATCGCTACAATGTAGTCCCATCTACTTTAAAGGATGTGTGTCTTTTATTACTGCAATATGTAGTCCTATCTATGTGGACATGTACGTTAAAGGACTTCTGACTTGTATTGCTAACTGCATGTATTCCTATCTTCTATTATGTTTGCAGGCTCTTATAGGTATCAGTCTGCTCAGTTAGATATAGCCTGTGAAATTTGTACTCTTGTTTTATTAGATATTTCAAATTGCAATGAAATAGTATATAATAATAATAATAATAATAATAATAATAATAGCCTAATAGTCCACTCCAAATTTTATTAAATTTTATATAGGCCTACACTGAATAAAACACTGACTACAAATGACCAATCAAAGGGAACAAGCTTCTGGCCGGGTTACCTATTGTGTGCATATAATTATAGTTTGTATCCTGCTTAGGCATAAGCCTTATGTGTTTCATACATTTATGCTGAAGCAGGAAAATACAATTAGTGATGTATTCCTTTAACAAGCATACTACAGAGTAGTTTCCTTGGGATGTTTATGAGGGTAATGTTTGCACATCTTTGTCTGTCTATACACTCAAGATAATACAACTCTGTTCAGCTTTCATTTGGCTATACAGGGGGACAAATGAGGAAAAGTATTCTACAAATACACCATGTTGAATCAAGGGGTCTAAATGGTGTTTGTTAGGTCTTGACCTTGGTCCTCTATGATGTGTGTACTGATCAAACTCAAACTTACCCTCTCTCAATCAGATCTAAATCATGTTTAGAGTTATGTTTTAGTTACCTTTGGAAATCAAACGCTACATGAATCATGTTTTAATGTTGTATTTATTTAGAAATGGGAACTAAGAAAAGAAATTTCATATACACCCAAATTACATTAAGATACTGAAAGAAAGAGAGCACATTGTATTTAACTCCCACAGGTCATCGAGCAAGACTTGAAGCTAGCAATAAAAACTCAATTTAATCATTTTACATGTGATCTCCGAGAAATTGTATGTTGCAGGTTTACAGTAGATCAAGAGGATAAAGAAGATAATCTAAATTGACCCTAAAAAAGGTGTAGTATTGCAATAAAAAGCAGAGTATTAGACAAGGACTAAAGTATGTGTCTGAACACAGAGTAACCTGTTTGCCGGGACTAAAGTATGTGTCTGAACACAGAGTAACCTGTTTGCCAGGACTGCTCCGATTCTCTCACACCTTGGTTGCTGAGTTCCTGTGTAAATTGAAAGCTTCAACCAATCAGGGCAAACCTTGAATAGTCTTGTATATCAGACCTGATTTCAGTCCTTGGAGGTCACTCTGAGATCAAAGCAGTATTCTTGCTCTCTTCACATTGGCTTTTACCATATTTTTTTACCATATTTTTGAGCAAGATATTGAGAAGTGTTGCGATAGGAATTTCAAGTATACACACATACATGTATTTACATTAAAGGTAAAGACCAGTATTGGAAACGCCCCAATTTCAAAAAATGAAATGAAAGCTCTCATTACCAATCATGTGAAAGAATATGTTTTGACTAATACATGATGATAAAAAATTTGCCGGAAACCGCCTACTAATTCATATATTTGGTAAGTTTGTTTCTCTCATGGTCTGTGAGAGATATACATGTAGGGTAGTCCCATATACATCTTTCTGTGTATAGTGCTTGTAACTTTACGAAGACTGGGCCAAATTTCTTATCATTTTGATGATTCCAGAACCTTGCAGATGCTAGATGCTAGATGATTAACCTTTTCTGATCGATTCCACAATGTTTCTTTCACAATGCAATCGCATGACCATAACTGGTCTTTACCTTTAATATTATCAATGAAGTAAAACACACCTGTTTAAATAGTTTATAATGCTAAATTTTATTTTTTAGGTCTACCGTATTTGCCGGCGATAAGGCCGCAGCGCCGTATAGGCCGCACCCCCGATTTTGACATTTTTTTTTGGTTGTTGTTGTTTTGTTGCCGAAAACCCACGCGGGGAAGGACCTTCATTTAAGACCTTCATCGAGGTGCAGTTAAAGGCGCTGATTTGTGCTTGTAAACTTGTCACAAATAATAGTAACAATGTCGTTTTTAGAAGAATGTATAAGATCATTAATGTGAATTAAAAACAAAAGAGTACTAGGTCCTAGGATAGTACCTTGTGGTACACCATTTGTTATATAACAAAAATAACAAAAATTGAGAATTATTATTATAAACTACATATTGAGATCTATTAGAAAGATTACTTTCAAACCAAGATGACAGACAAATTTTAGTGTTGTTGTAGTTTCCGAGTGGTGAGTCAACACAACACACTGATTACTGAGCTGGGAGACATTGCCAGGCATAGCGCCATAAATCAAAACTAAAAAAAACTAAAAAAATTTTTTTTATTCTTTCGCCGCATAGGCCGCACCCCGACTTTTTGATATTTTCTCTTCCAAAAATACTGCGGCCTATACGCCGGCAAATACGGTATTTGTCTAATATATGTTTGAAAATACTGTTAATAACCAAAATAATCCGCACAGCAGCACCAGGACCATCTTTTCTATAGAATGCTAACAATACCTGTAATTGTAGTGATAACTTTTCACTACACTCCTATGGTATATTGATTGATATAGGGTTGTTTGCAATTTTAGAGAGCTAAACATGTACATGTACATCTACAATATACAATTCCCTCTACCTCTACAATGAAAAGTGTAGAGAAATAATTAAAATATACATGTACATTGTACATGTACATTGTACATGCACATGTAGTTAGATATGACTAGGCCTGTAGTATTCCCTGAGAAAGGTAGGCCTAATTCAGCCTTGGTGGGTCTGCATGTTGTAGACTAGTTGTAATGTATAAGGAGAGTGTATGGCCAGCCAGTCATGTCATTGTGAGGAAGGGACCAGTTAGTGAGTTAGCGAGGGTTAGGTCATTCATTCGGTCCCTCATTCAGTCTTAGTAGAGCAGAGCATGGCACTTGTTTGCAGGTTCTATCCTATGGGAGTCTGCTCTCTTTCATAATTTCTCAGCCTTTATCTGAATTTCTACCGAGGATTTTTACCCCTTTTGGATTTACAATCATGAGTTTGCCTGGTCATCTTACAGGTGGTGAGTTACAGCAGTTTTCTTTGTGGTGTTCTTGGTCTGTTAATTAGCAGTATATTATTTCCTGTATGTTCTGTTAGTGAAAGTGAAAGTGGACTACAAGCAAAATCAGGCCCTTTTCAAGGAATTGTCTGAAATCAAAGTTTATGGATATCCTGATCAAGTGTATGGCATACATGTAGGCTTGTGGAAACAAAGAAACAAAAAATGACAATTTAGCTATCAAATACATAGCAGACATGAATCATATAAAATTGTTATTTTTAAAATATTCTTTGGGTTTTGTTGTTGTTTGTGTAATTTTTGTTATTATTTTCATGTAATGCCTAATGGAACCACTTAGCAGGTTTGATGAATAATTAATTTTGATTTTAAACATTTCAATTTTCATTTACATGTATTTTTTAATGAATAAAGATGCACAAATGCGCTTTGAGATATTCCATTTCTTTCGGTTGTGAAAAGTTAACTAGTTAGATCAAAGAGAATCCATGAAGCCCTTCAGAGGGAAAAGATAATGTATTGCCTGGATTTTGCTCTTAGGATTGGTTTAATTGCATTCCATATCTTCTTCCCCCACCTGACAAGTGCACACCCTTTTGGGTTTGAATCCTAGAGGATTTCTAGCATTCTTCCTGACCTCCTCCCAACTAATGAAGAAAAAAAAGGATTTAGTTTGAGAGCTTTGATAGATCCATATCCACCCACTGGCTGGTGATAGGGTGCAGTCTCAATCCCTGCTAAGTTAAGATATCAAAACTACATTGCGCAGCGTTGTTTGTACTCGAACTTCGATCCCAACTTTCTGCACTTGAAGATCTGGGGATAAAACTGTAGGAGGAAGATTGATGAAGGAATTCCCTTGTATGGTGATTTAAAGGAGATGTTCTTCTACAAATCTAGATGAATAACTTAGAATCTGAACTTGTCAGGAGCTTACTTTCCATGCCTTTCTGCTTTGATTGACAAAGCTGTTTATGGGTTGTTTTGTGAAAAGTTTCTTTTGTATTCAAATGTTGGCTTGGCTTAAGTGAGCCAGAAGTACTTTAGCAAGATGGGTCTGATGAGATAAGTGTAATCCTCAAAATATATGTTTTTCTCAAACTTTCAACAACAAAATAATAATTATCCTGAAGAAGAAAAAGGGCTAATTTGGTAGGGTACATTAGTTGTACGTGTATTTCTGTATTCCTGATAACAATATTGTCCTCAGACACTGTATTTGGAACTCTGTTAATTTCTTAGCAAGCCTGCTTACTGTGTCCCTACTTGATATAGAAGAGCCTAAACGCCCAACTGTTTACATTGTATGTATATTGGAATACAAACTAGATGTTAGCAGGACAAAGAAATAAGGAATGTATATATTTCAATGATTTACTGGTACAGTATGGATAATATTGACTTAAGCATTTAAGGTAAATCACTTCCAATGCAAATGCTACATACATGTACTGTACATGTACACATACTGGAGGAAGATGTAATTTTCCTCATTTAAGAAAAATAAAAGTTGAAGTTGTATTGTTTTTTATACTTTCAAGTCACTGCTCCAAATTTGAAACAGTTGACACCTGAATTAATCTTTTCTTTTTAAGTTGTAATACAAAATTGTAGGCTTGCAAGCACATGTATTTTACAAGCAGATACGCTTTTGTACCAGTAACTACATTTGTATGTGTTAATGATGGTTACCCTGTTAATAGATAACATGAGATGTAGATACTAGCCTTCCTGTCTCCTGTAATTCATTACATAATTCACCATACTGTATTTCATGTGATCATTTAATGATCACATCATGTATTGTTATTTTTATATATACGTGTATGTATGTTGTAAAGCGCATTGAAATGTCAACAGACATGAAATGCGCTATAAAAGAACAAAGTAGTATTATTATTATTATTATGAAGATGTATGTATAAAAATAAAAATAAGCACAAGGAGTTATCATACCATACATGTAATTTTTGCTGGCAGGGTCCTTGTCAATTTTGATAGAATTTGATAAAAGAGTTAAGTTTTTATTGAAGGTTGCAGGCAGCAACAGGGATATCAAATGTTCATCATAAATGTATTATAATACTTGTGGCATATATTACAAGAGGGGACACAAACGGTCATGCTATATTCATACAATCAGATTTATAGACACATGTAAACCTGTACGTAGCTTGTAAGATATTATTGAAATGGCAGGGACAATATAATAACCTTCCTGTATCAAAGGATTAAAGTTGATGAAGATTTTACAAAGGCATTATTAAAGTGTTAGCTCGATCCATGGTCTTCTTTTCTGCTTCATGCCTGGTTCAAGTTTATGCGCATATTTATCCATCTGTCCCAGCAAACTTACCCTGTAGGGGGATTTGAACACCCAGTAAGTAAACTCTCCTAATTGCGTCTTTCATCGAGGGACTTCTCTCTCTCAAGCTGTGTTCACAACATAATAGCCTTTTTTCAAGCGTTGTGTCTCCTAACACAGTATTAAAACACTGTAAGGATGGGTCTCGGTCATTATGGTGTAAAGAAATACATTGGGTGTAGAACAGAAAATATTGAGATCAGCTTAAGAAGAGAAGAACAAACAACAAATATAAATTAACTCTGAAAAGATTTAAAAAAAAATCAAATGAACAAAATAAAAAACAAAGCTGTTCATACCTTTTTTTAACATATCCTGTAAAGAAAATTTTGTAAGCATTTCTGTTGAAAAAACATGAGACTGCTCATTACCGGTATGTTATTGTGCGTGTCATTGCACTATAACTGACATATGAACAATGTGCATCATTGTGACTCACATAAATGTACAATGAAGATACAGTTTGGTTTTCAGTGGCCTAGCTTTCAGGCAGAAATAGTTTATCCTACTCATTGACAAAAAATGCTGAATTTGGACAAAAGGAGGTATGGGGGATAGTCTATGGATTCCAGACTAGGTAATTCTTGTATAATTACCATGTATCATATGGAGGAGGGGGGGGGGGGAGGGGTTAGTAATTCATCTTTTCCTATCTTACATATAAGTTAGATGAGCTTTCCAACTAATACCTAGTAGTGCTTACTACAGGAAATCTTCTTCTTGAAACCCATCCAATTCTTTATCTGCATGTACCTGTACATGTACATGTGCATAGGCCCTGTATGTACATGTATTTCCTCATAATGCATATGGAAAGGAATCTGAAAGACAGTACCAGTTAATTTGTATATTATAGTAGACGTTACATCCTTCTTCCTCTAATCAGACGCTAGTGTCATTGTACATCAAGTCTTTCTTCATGTAGTTTTAGTTTAGCAATCTTTTATTTCTCATTCATATTGTTTTAGAAACGGTTTTGCACTCATACTGCAGGCATTATGATAGATAGCCTGTACACATTGGCCTCTGAACATTATGCATATTCCTCAGTAATTGCAGCAATTGAGTGAAAAATCAATACTAATTTTCAACATTTGATCAATATTCCATCACGACATGAATGTATTTAATATCCATCAAAAGGGGTTAATGACATCCCATGAATGAAACCTTACTTGTATTTGGTAACTTTTACTTTCTGAATCATGTAGTATATCACTACTGATACTGTAGTAACTTGAACAAGATTTCTTTTTTCCCTCATTTATTAGCATTCTTGTACTTATGTAGGCGCTTATCTGTGGATTATTTTAAATATACAATGATTATTAATAGTAGTGATGATATACCCTCATGAAGGCAGACTTTCAGTTTAAAATAGGTTTATTTAGATGACAATTTCACTTGACTCTTAATCCAAGGGTTGAGGGTTCAAATCCCAGCACGGCAGTAAAGTTCTTTGGCAAGATCTGCATTTGCCACTCTCCACCCAGGTGTAAATGGGTACCTGGCAATTGCTGGGGTAATAATAATTGCAGGGCCCTCAGGAAGAACAGCACTGAAGCTGATGAGGCTTCCCTTAGTAAACAAAATTATTATTATTATTGTTTATTAGATTTTCCCCAAAGCTTCTCAGAGGTATTTATCACTCTCTGATCCTATCTATTTTGTTTATTGAAAAGCTAATAGTATAATCAGAGTTCTCATCATCATTCTCCAGAGTTAGTGAGACTAGTGACTAGTGAGAGTTACATGTACCGGTATCTCATATCTAGGGGAGCTTTAATAGGTGTGGCCATGAAATTTTTAATGAGTTATGTAATGAGGCTACAAAACTAATTAATGATTGAGAATTGATCCATGTCTGTCTGAAAATCGAAACAAAAATTGATTTCAACCAACGGACAAGGCCTAATTTCTCACTAATAGCCTTTTCATACCAAAGGGAATTTATATGGAACTCTGATAAAGAAATGTGTAAAGAATCATTGTATATAGCAAAAGGAGCATACAGACAGGAATACAACATTGTAGATGTATTAAGAAACTAAATCTGAAAGAGGCCAGGTGACATGACAGCTGACCAATGATCAGTGCGCGCTCACAATAAGCCCCGCCCAGTATGGTTTTCATACTAGAGCTGGACCCTGATTCTGTATATCATGTTTAGACTAGAAACAAACGTAATTACTTGTATAGATATACATTGAATTTCGGTAGTCTGGATGCCGTTTTTTTTTCTCCCTTTTGCTGAAGTTTATTCCCTCTGTGATTTATGCCTTTTCTTGTGTAGTGCCTATATTATTTATATTATAACGTCTTTATATGATTTCAAAGGACTTTAAAAATCATTACTCCAGTTTTATTTTGTTATCAGAAATTATTATTATAAAATTTTCATGGGTATCAACATTCCTACTACAATGTTTACATTTTTCAAAGACTGTTTGTGGCAGAGGCCCTTTATTAAACTGGACGTCATTATTATAAACCCAGAGAAAAAGATAGGGATAGTGGGATACGGCCATGGGATGTGCGATGTTGTCAAGTGATTATAGCTTTACGTCTCTCCTGACCTTTCATTCCTGGTTCTCTGATTCTCTTATACCAGGTGTGACTGTTATTGACCCACTGGGCGATTGAAAGGGGGCATCTTGGCACCTCTCCACCAGTCCCTCCTCCCCTCTATTGTTCCTACTCACGGCCCTTTTTGACATAGGGCAAACACTTCAAATCACTTCAAATTTGCAATTTGAAGGATAAAGCCCTACATGTACAGTCCACCCGGTTCCCTCACATTGTTTACGAGACATAAATATCATCACTCGGTAGCATTAATTTGCCTAAAACAGTTGCTAATCATTTGCTCAATGGTAAAATGTTCTGATCATAAGTAGTAGTCCATATTAGAACAACAGCCAGGAACTATCTTCTCTTCTTGAAAAAATTATGAGTAAGCCTATGTCTTTGAGAGCTTACAGTAGACCAGACAAATGACAACCTATACCGGTAGACAATAGGCATAGGGAAGTACTCAAGATTCTGTGACCACCACTAAACAATGGCTGGGATATACATGTATCCTCTATTGAGGATGTAGCATTGATGAGAGTTCAGACACCCCTGATCATTGAAGAGCCAGGATTAGTATACCCTGAGTCAATATCTTTGTTGAGAGGGGCTATCCTTAAACCCCCCTTCAGAGCTAAATGAACCCTTCAACCCTCATCTATACAGGCTAGATCTGAATGGTCATATCAAGGAAACCTTTCAGGGTAGGAGTGGGTGAATGGTGACCAATCTTGAGGGGGACATGTGTGTAATAATAGATCCACAGCTTAGTCTTGAGAAGTGGCCATAGTCTCAACTCTCAAGATTCTGCTACCTCTCTCAAAATCCCTTTTCATTCAGTTGGTCTTTTGCTTTCTATTTTCTACATTTTAAGTCGTCTTTTTAAGATGGTAAAATGAAAGTGTTTGAATGCTCCTCTTTGGCTTCTGTCATCACGATTCCCTTCATGAAAGAATTATGTTATGCACATTTGTTATTCATATCTCGAATAACTCCTATCATAATGGATAGCGTTCATTCATGTACATTAGGAGATTTGTATTCATGTGCACTGTATGCATATGGCATCCTGTCTTAATACGTAAATGCCAGTGGCGACAAATCCCGTTCATTTGAGGAAACAGGATTGTAAACGGGATCTTTCTCCATCCTGCCTGGAGTGCCTCTGGGCTCTGCATTAGCTTCCTCTCAGTGCGTTTAGCTCCCGTGTGTTTCTAGCATCTGGGAGCGATAGTTAGCCAGGATTAGGTGGAAAGAAAAAGAGGAAAGAAAGAAAAAGATTAAAAAGCTGAGGTCATTGGCTTCTGAGCAATGCTGATTTCTTTAAGGGACTATTTGAAGGCTTTTGCTCTGTAACCTGAGATACTTAAGCTACACGTCTGTTTTGGAAATATTTCTTGTAATTAAAAAAAAAATTGAGTTCTGAAAAAAATACATATTACACTCTAAATGTCCTTAAGGACGGAAATTAAATTAAAAGTGTTTTTTAATTCCCACTTGAAAGGGTGTGTACTTATAACCCTATATCACCCTTGTTTGAGCCAATTAGGTCAAAAAATACCCTTATCCTTTTCATGCTCAAAATCTTTATTTTTTTTATGATACTGAACATGGGTTGACTTGAAATGATGCATTATTTCAACTCCACTTACAAAAATTACTATCACAAAATCTTGTCAAATAATAAGGCAAGACTTCCATTGATTTTAAAAATCCTGATGTTTTCTTTATTGGATAAAATAATAATCATGTCATTCTACGAGCAGAACTACCCTACATGTACCGGTATAGTGTATTAGGAAATCCAAATTGAATATTGATTTGGTGATGCATCATGACTGAGTATGAAGCCTTGTCAATTGGATTTGCTCTGCACTTCAAACATGCATGGAGATATTAGGCATAACTCCCTTGTTAGATGTAAAAAAGTGTGTCGAGCAAATAAAGTAGTTTGTAAGCTATCCTATACATATGTTTAGTTGCGCGGAATATAGGCTACAATGCCACATGTAATTAAAGAGATGAAAATTACCATAGGGGCTTCTGGGCAGGGGGGGGGGGGGGGTACCCTAGGTGTTTAGGTGCATCTCATTTACTTGTTCTGTCCATTATTGTCATAGCTGTGTTCAAAAGACTAAATGGTGTTCCTGGTATATCAACTTGGTAGATCAGGTCTTGTGCCATATCAAACAATGATACTAACCAAAGAAATGGTTGTAAAGCATTAGTCAAAGAATGAACAAAATGCTTTGTCTAGAATGAGTGGCCAAAGGAATTGAACAATACAAAATTGGTTGAAGGGACTACCGGTAACTAAGTGGATTCTTGGAAGGAGTTTCCAACAGATTTACCAAAAGCACTACTTTAAAAATAGACCAAACAGACTCATGTTCATCAAAAGAACAGACCAAACTTAATTATGGCCAAATGAGTATAGAGCAACAAAGACTCACCAAAGAAATTGGCCAGAGAAAGATCAAAGAGATTGAACAAAGGCTTAGTCCAAAGATATTGGTCAGAGGCATTAACCAAAATCGTTTGCCAAGGAGGAGGAGGAGGCCAAAGAGATTGGTCACAGGAAATTAAGGAATTGACGTAAGGAAATGGTCAAATGGGTATGTCCAAGGGTCAGCCAAACAATTTGATCAAGAGGATTCATCAGAGGGATTGTCCAAAGTGGTAAAAGGGTGTTGGCCAAAAGTGGGAATGATGATTGAAACCCCAAATCTGACCACTATTTAATTTTTCATTTACCAATTATATAAACAATGACATATACAATGACATTGATATTACATATAGAACAAGGGAATACAAAGAAACCATGAGATTCAAAATGTTGTTAAGTTACGTAAATACATGTATTTTTGGTAAATAATTGTCAGATTGGCTGATAAGTTGTATTTTCTCCTTGCATGTTTGTATTTATCAAGTTTAGAAACATTTCTGTGGAAAACAAAAATCATTTAATATTGTTGATGAACCTGTATGGAAACTGTTTTAAAGGCAACAAGTGCGGCAATGACACCTTTCACTGTTTTTGCCAAAAGATCTTTTAGTTTGCCAATAACAAAGATTGAACACTCTTCTCAGTATTTCAATTAAATGTGTTGGCTTGAGTGGGTTGAATGTAGGTGTCTTCAATCAGATGATGCAACATGTTAATAGATGCATGCATGCCTTGTTCATTATTAGTATCATTACTATGTAGAAGGCATGACTAGAAGATTGTGGGTAGAAAGCAGCTAATCTTTGGTTGAATTGCTGCTCATGGGTAAGACTGAATTGATTAGATTCTCAGAGAATGTTTCAACAGGAAATGAAGGGTGACAGCTTTTGGCTTGATGTCGTTGGTAATCCAGATGACTAGATGAATCCTCCGTGGCAGGCATGTCGATGTAGGGACAGCCTTGTGGGCTAGGAGAGTGTGACGTTAACCCCCTCACTGCAGAGGCAGGAGCTATGAAGTAGTCTTCTGGGATGCTGTAGGTTAAGAAGTATCTCATCTTAGAATGAGATACACACCAGATGGAGCATGCATGCTTTGTGTTTGTTTGGCTAGACTCTTTCTTCTTGCCTTGCTGTTGAAGCAATAGTCTAGGCTATAACGTGACAGAATACAGGAATTAATGAGAACAAATGAAATTTCAGTCTTTGTGAATATTCCGCAAAGTGTTTCTGATTTGTAGATGCAATCACTGGATACTATTCTTATTTCTGTAATGTTTCCAATCTAAAGTTGGAAGATGAAGTGCAAGTGTATGCAAATAAACTGTAAATCAAACATACCCTAATTGTTCACCATTTACAAGTGATAACCAGTCTTCCAAATCAGCCAACTATTGAAAATCCATCATTTAATTTCCGTTGTAACTGTGATAGACCCTGATTGGGTGGACGGGGAGAGGAATGTTGAGATTTAAATATTGTTAGGTACATGTAAATAATTAACCCAAGCATGTACACATGTACAGTATGCATTTCACTTTGTCAAAAGTGTTATGAGAGGATTATGTGTGTAATAGATTTTGACATAAGGTTGATGATGTACCTGATTCATGTAATTTCTTCTCAACCCCTAAATTATCTTTGACAGCTGTTTTATTGGATGATGACTTGCTAGTTTTAACGTGCCTATGTCAATGACAAACCCATGTTGCTCGTTAGTAATAGCACATTGAGACTTGGATGAATGCACAATATCAGTATTACATAATATACATGTATATGACAGGATCATTTTTAAATGCATATAAGTGACATTTTATTGAATGTTACCTGTATACTATTTCAAGGACCACATCGACATTGTATGATGTTCTATAGTAACTTCATCATTTGTATCTGCTATCTATCAGAACAGTGCATGAATCATATGTGAGTAGTCTGTCTGGCTTTCATAAGTTAGTTGTTATGTATTATATCTGTGGAAACGCTATGTACTTATAGAAGTTTTCTTTCCATTATCCACATGGATTTAAACCTGGGAGTATAGTATACTGAGCTCCACACTCCTGTATGATCAGTTCACCTGATGCCACAGGGTAAAAAAAAAGTTCCCACTTGAAGTACGGTATGTGTTATATTTGGTAGGCCTCAAGACAACCCGACTTTTGCATAAATCTCAGGAAGTTTTTGTCAAACTTTTGCTTGCCACTGTTTGAATTGGTGGATGCACTTCAAGAGTCAGCATTGCTTTGTATATATGGGACATCAGAGGTAACATGCTATACATGGAGTGGTGTGTGTCCTATTAATGTTGCTTGGCTCTGTGAACACTTGAAGGATTGTAATAAGATAAGAAATAACACTCATTTAGTTAAATCCATGCGAGTTATTGATGTGATATTGAACTGTTTGGCACATTGTTGTCTTCCGTGATATGAACCAATGTATGATTGCATTAATGAAGTTTAATTTTTGTCATGCCCATAACTCAACTTGACCTTTGACCTTCATATCTTTCAGTGTCGACGATGCGAGCTAGTCAAGATGTCTACGTGGCTGACCTAGCTCACCAAGTCAACAATAGTGTGACTCTACAGTGCAATTGTGATGACTATAGCTGTGAAGGGACCAATCGCTGTGAAGCACTTCGGAAATGTTTCTCATCAATAACAGAAGTAGATGGCATCATCATGAAGAGAATGGTGAGTTTAACCAGGATTTATCACTCCGTCTCTGATTACTGAGTAATCTTAGTCTCTCTGCCATGGTACTCTGTCCAGATTCATCCTTAGATATATTATAAGTCTATAGGGTCAAATTCCATCCAGTATCAATTATTGAACTTTATAGCTATTTTTCTGCAAGATCATTTCAAAGAGATATTTTTCTTCATAAACCAGAAAATAAACACTGGGGATCATTAAAACACACTTTGGTGTGTATTGTGCATGTGCGATGTATGTTCCCATGACAAAGTGGTCAGCAGGTTATTTACTCTGATGTACAATGTACATATTGTGATGGTTTTATATAGTGTCAAGGCACCTATTTTAAAATATCACTTACTTATTCAGTTAGGTATGTTGATTTAAGAACTTCAAAAAAGTACTTGAAAATGGTTCATCAAAAGTTTTTGTGCAATGCTTCAGCTTCATTAAGCCAAAATGATTTGACATAATAATGATAAAATTATGCTCGTAATGACATAATATGGAAGTAGATGACAGATAATTCTTCAATGATTTCTACAGAACTTGCTCACATATGATGACTAGTTGGCATCAAAAACATTTTTATCTTCTATGCGTTGCCTGCTAGCACTTATTAGTGCCTGTTTAACCTATGATATTCCATCATTCATTATTTTTGCAGGGATGTGTGAATACAGAAGAACAGTTCAACATGTTTTGTAAGATGCATCCTTATCCAGACATCTCTGTGTTGTGCTGTAATCGTTCCTTCTGTAATAATGATCTACAACCAACGTTCTTACCAACAACTACACCTCGTATCACAGAAGGTTAGTATCATTTATCTGTCTATAATGGTTCCTCATGTAGAGTCAGCATGGATCTATACCACAACCAAATACCCCAGAGATCTGAAGCAACCTGGATTGAAGTATTAACACTGGTTAACATGGTATTTATTAGAAATATAGAATGGTGATTGGGAAGGCCCTTTCTGTGCGATTGGGTCTTTATTTCAATCAATATGGAATTATAAACTTGAAGGACCTCAATAATTCAATGTACTACAAATTGCTCTCATGACCAACAGGTAGAGAGTTCTGGGTTGGCAAGAATTAAAATTAACATCACTAAACCTCATTAAGAATCTTTGTCCAGAAACACCTTTCCTTTGAACGTTATAACATACATGACAAATCATGAATGAGGAGTTCATGTTTATGGTTTGGTGAGGAAATCATTCTAAACATGATATCAAGGTATCGAGGGATGAGATGGATGGTATCATGATTGCTTCAGTGGTTTAGGCAGATGGTAGGTTAATCACTGTAGATTAAATCAGAAACTATTGTCAGCTTTTTTAGTTTATTCATCATCATCAACTTCAGGTGGCGCTGTAAAGCGCTGCTGTGGTCTTCACGAGAGCACGCCATGCAACTCTTTCACCTGCCATTTGTGTTGCACCTTTCATTCCTTTTCCAATGTATCATTAAATTATTAGAATATTAAGCTTTCTCAAATTTGGGGGAAAAAGATCCAAAAGAAAAATAGATCAGTAGTAAAGTAAAAATGGTAAGAAAGTCATATTCAAACGATTGAAGGAACAATTCAGTGGATTTGACGTACAGTGTACAGTTGAAATTTAAAAATGTACATGATCATAAATCTCTTTCTCACACCAATCATGTGAGCAATAGCATGAAGGATTCCTCCAATCAATCATATAGGTATCGTTCACACTCTCCTCTCTTACCCAGAGATTTATCTACTAAAAGATACTCCTTTGCAGGATGGGTATAGAGTCAAATCTTTTATCAGACAGAAGATGTACTTGGTAGACTTTAAAACCACATTCTTCACTAGGATCAGGTTAGGTTTTATGCACCTTCATGAGCTCTCAGTCTGTGGTCACTCAGCTATTAATCCACAGCTTATCTCATCAATCATACCACTAAGTGATGAAATCAATTTTTGTTGTTTGAAAAAGGCTGTTATCACATCTACATCCAAGAAGAGTGTAACATATAGATCTGTCTGTAAATTCAAGGGATACTTCTTGTTATTGCTTGAAGGAAAACTGCATATTTTGATTTTTGTTTAAAGTGCATCTAAACCTCATTTAAAACCTAGAATTGGGTGTTAACTTGGGTTTCACAAGCAATTCACCAAATGTGCGTAGGATGGAATAGAAAAGTGATACACAAGCCTGTATGTTTGCCTAGTTATCATATTGTTTATTTCTTTATCTAAGCCTAATGTAAACATTAAGATTGATGTGGAGTCACTGTCATTTGAAATACCAAGCCAACACCATGCTCCTCCTCTTTCACACTTCATTCTTTATATCATCATGACTTATTCTGCTGTGAGAAAGTAAAAGAGAAAGAGGGAGACTGAGGCAGACAGACAGAGAGAGAGAGAGAGACACTGAGACAGACAGACAGACAGACAGATAGAGACACAGACAGAGAGTGAGAGAGAGTGAGAGAGACATGAAAGAGAGAGCGAGCAAGATAGAGAGAGAGAGAGGGGGGGGGGGGGAGAGAAGACTTTAAAAACCTTTTCTCCTTGCCCCTCCTATTTCCCTTTTGTCAGTTGAATTGGTTTCACCAAAGATTTTTAAACTACATGTAATTATTTATAATTATCTAGGATTCTCTCAACATTTATCAGCAATTTCAAAACTCCAGAGACAAGATTCTTAAAAATATCACTTTTGTTGCAAGCCCAAGAATCAAAATGCTATCTTCAAGTATAAGTAATCTCCCTCAATGCTGGTCACTACTTATAGCTTTACACATGACATCACATAGTGAACATGAAAGTCAATGTAATGAACATGCATGCAATGTATCAGATTTAATGTGAGTAGATCTATCTGTCTGTCTGGAGTCATTAATGTTGATTAGTATGTGTGTAAGATAGCCTTTTAGTCACGTTCTTCGCTCATCACTCACTAAAATGAGGTAAGATAGTTTGACTGGTGTGGAGGGAGTCATGAATCCTGTCTGGAACATCACATGAGTGAGTCCCTAGCTTATATCATCTAATAATTTCATTGCAAAGCCTTCTTCGTGCTTTCCCTTTTTACTATTTTACATGAAATACCATATACGTGTACATGTACTACATGTTTATTCTCCTTATTGTACTAGCAGTAGGTTGAGGGGGGGGGGGGGTGGGCAGTGGATTCTTTTATTCTTGCTGCCAATACATTGGCTATATCACTTCGTAGTCTGTGCATTTTTTTCTCTTTCTTATTGGCCTTTTTTAATGTTAGTATCAATGGATGTAATGTTGTACAATAAATATACTGATTTGAAGAAGAAAAAAATCACTTTCTTTTGCACATACCGGGTACTTGTAGGTCATAATGTTTTCTCCTTTTTAAAATCTCTAACAGAGCTCTTTACCACATCCCTTTCACCCCTGTTGGTTTCCCCTCTCAAAGTAATATTACTTTTTTTTGTCTTCATTTAATTCAGAATATTCACAAAAAGTATAATTCAATATACAGTGCGTCCCAGAAAAAACGAAACCGAGAATTGTCGATGTTTGATCATAACTTAGTCATATTTATAATCAATAAATGACACATATGTGGAAAGCTTAGATCCTCCTCTTTCATTTTGATGCAACTTATATGATGCATATTTCACGCATGAGTGAGTAAAATGAATTTGAAGAGAGGAAAGAAAGCCGAGTTTCTGCCCTTTCATATGACACCTCAGTCAGGAAAAATGAGCTAGGAATAACAAAGTTCTGTTCGTTTAAAGTAGTGCTTGCATTTCCATAATTTTAGTAAACAAATTCGTTTTCACTGGCTATTGCCGTAGCAACAAACGGAATTAACAAAAGACTTAACTCCGTTTGGTTGACAATCAGCCGTAGACGAAAGACTTCATGCATGGCTGTTGTCAACGAAACGGAGTTAAGTCTTTTGTCTATTCTGCTTGTTGGTACAGTTATGTTAAAACATTGACAACTCTCGATTTTGTTTTTTCTGGGACGCACTGCATTTCTCTCAATGTTACTGTCCTACATAACTGAGTTTTCTTTCTTATCAACAATTTGACTCATGTATGACTGACTCACTGCATCTCTGACGTACCTCGGAACAAACGAACTTTGCTAGAGAAAGTACAGCATCAAACCTTTTGACATGTCAAAGCAAGTGCTACACATCTGCAGAAAAGAAGACAGAGCTCTGTGTATTTTTCAAGGATGTATTTACTGTGAAGACTAAAGAGTCAATACAGTGTTTTGTAGAAAAAGTACACTCAATCCACCTGCCCATGTTACCCCTATGTCACTGCATAGTAACAATCTCCAGAGGGGGGACACCAGTAACCTATATCTTGGTCAGACCATCCATCCCTGCAATGAGCCATAATGACATTGGCTCCAGACTGCAATAGAATCATTGATCATCCAAAGAAAGAATGCTTTCTATCATTCAATTTAAACTCATTCCCTCCCTCCCTCCCTTCTCTCCCTCCCTTCTCTCCCTCCCTTCTGTCTGTCTCTCTGTCTCTCTGTCTCTCTCTCCCTCTCCCCCTCGACCTCTCCCTTTTCTCTCTCTCTCTCGCCCTTTCTTTCTATCTGCCTCTCTCTCCCTCTCTCTGTCTCTCTCTCTCTCTGTCTCTCTCTCTCTCTTTCTCTCATCATGAGTCAGATGGTAATGAACAAGGCTAGGGAGACATTAGTATCTTGATAGTACTCTGTTCTTATTGTGACAGGTAGAATCAATCTTAGAGCTGGTAGTAGTCTTCCTGGTCTTCCTGTAAAAGAGAGAGAGAGTGAATGTGTGAAACCAACCAATATAAATGTAATAACAGAGAAACACAGAACAAGAGAGAGAAGGATAGACAGACACAGAAACAGAAGAGATGTCATTCCCACTGATAAGAATGTATGCATAGAAAACACTCCATAATATAGGTAATTATTGATTCTCACATCCTCCATCTCTCCAAAAACGTTATATTTTGATATATTTTACGTTTGTTTTACTTGAAGATAAACTATGCTCTCCATAGGCAATATTGCCCCTATAGCCAAACTTGCACCTTTTGAAAATATTAGTCCATGTGATATATTTCCATGTTCATTATTTCAGCCATAAGGGCTCCTATGAAAATCAAACAAACAAAATCCTTCATCATCAGTAACTACAGAAGTTCTATTTTCAAAGCCTGTGAAATGTGATCAAATGTTTTCTGGTGTATTGTATGAGGAGGATGAAGAGTAGACATTCTTTAGGGCTTAGAAGATGTGATGAAATGCAAGGTTCAAGTGGCTATGTGCCTTAACTTCTCTTATTAACATTGAATGGGTTAGAGAATGATGTGCCCTGTCGCCAGCTAGTATTACCAAGGGGTCAAATCTTGAGATGTTTGTGATCACTGAAGGCGAGTCTTCATCATCTAGAGATTGCCAAATAGCCTGCTATTTCTGATTTGGGAAATAATCCTGAAGTTACAAATCGCGTCCTCATCAGCTCGAGATTCAACCTCGAAACTTGAAACTCGACCTTGAGAAATTAGCTCGAGATATTTTGCTCAGCGTTTGCGCATAGTGCGATTCTTTGGTCTGGCGATGACGCACTGGAAAAATAGCTGGATATTTTGCCAAATAGTGGGATATTTTGCAAACTATCCCACGATATCTTGGGATGACAATCCCGACCAAACATCCCGCTAATTGCAACTTCGGCTGATGAAGACGCAAATTAGCTGGATAGTTTGCGATCGGGATAGATCAAATAGCGGGATATTTGGCAATCTCGAGCTAGTGAAAACAGGCCTACTGACTATCTTCTTCTCAAAGGAAGTCAAGTACTCTTACATGCGTCTCCATCTCTTATACTGCCACAGGAAGTCTCATTCTGTCTCATTCTGTCTCTTTCAGACGACTCTCATAAAAGTCCTGTTAATAGGTTTGAAGTGGACCCATTTCTAAATAAATGCAAAACGTAAACAAGTTTGGCATGAATTGTAGGCTTTATCCATGTAGCCGGCTTCAAAATGTTTACATCATCTTGAATAGTCCTCTCACAGTTTCTAGCTTTCTACACCGTTTTATTAGAAACAAGAAATTATAAAACTATTTGATCGCGCATGAATCGTCTGCTTCTTTGGAGAAATGGTGAACATTTTGTGTTTGCACTGTCTTTGCATTCTACTTTTCTAAAGACATTCTACTTTTCCGTTTGAACACTTCTTATGAATGCTTCTCCCAATCATGTGACTGAAAAGAAAAAGAAGAAAAACAAAAGAACAAAACATTTGACTGAATGTCTTCAATGCTTATATTGTATGTTGATTTTAATCTTAGTACTGTCATCATTATTATCTTCATCATCATATTCATAATCATGATTGTCATCATCCCTATCGTCATACTCAATAAGGTGTTCTACTAATTCAACCATCATACCATAAAGTGCATGCTGTAATATGTAAATGTATTCCAGCTATCATTCAAGCCAACATGTATGGGACATTGGTCATTGAGACACGGTCGTTCACCTCCACCAATAGTTTTCATCAATTTTCACTTCTCAATTTCATTTCCTGCATACATTGGTGTAGTGAGTGAGTCACTCATTTGGTGCAATGCTCACACCATCCATTACCAACACAACTTCAGTGTTGGCGCTGATGATACCTGTTACATGGTGTTGAAGGAGAGTATTAGATGTACAGTATACCTTTTGTTCAGAGCCAGAAGGGCATTATCTCTGTGTCAGAGTATATGAGTTAACGCCCTTCTGGTTCCAAACAGATGATATACTGGTAAATGGATGGTAAAGTGGAAGAAAAAGAAGTAAAAGAAGTAGCAAATACATGCAGTATAGGAGGAGAAGGAAAGGAAGGTGAAGATGAGTCAAGAGAAGATAACGTAAAAGACCAAGAAAAGAATTAAACGATGCAGGGAGGCAGTGGTATAGAAGAAGAAATTAAAGAAGAAAACAAAAATTAAACAAGAAGTTAGACATTTAAGAGTCTAAAAATCAATAAATTATTCATCTAAGAATATAACATTTAGAATTAAGTCAGAATTAAAATGATTAATCATACAAGCACATACTAAAATCCAATGTGCTTCCATCTGCATGTTAATGTTTAATTTTGATGCAGTCTTATTGATTTACAAATTTACTGGGTACCAATGATCTAATACAGCACTTGAAGAAGCAAGCAACGCTGTGTGATGTGGCATGGGAGTCGATCTGGCACTCAGTAATGGCCTTGAGGAGCAGACAATTATGATACAAAGAATAAACATTGCTGCCAATTAAATTTATTTAATTGATTCTTGTTATGACCAAGAGTCGTTAATTGGTCGCCAAACCGACCTAGACCATAGCAGCATCTTATGAAGGAATATATTTGATTGGATAAGGACTGAAACAGAACAAACATCCAATGTTATTACATTCTCTCTCTGTGGGTGCAATATTTCTCAATTGTTTTTCTATTTGAGACTTTGAGTGCCTACTACTTTCAGGCTCTTTTCAAATTAGATCTGTGACCTTGGGCCTTACATGTACGTAGCATTATGTTAATTATTTGATAAGACACTATACGTGATGGACCATTTTTCAGCACTTCTTACTTTTTGTATTAGTCTATAAAGTGAGTCATCAGATTTTGAATCAATTTCAGAAGACGAGATATGTAAGCAAAGTGAACATAAGTGATAGATAATCTCATAGTTTTTAAATATGAACATAAAAAGTTGAATTTACGATACCAGTATTGAATAATACAAGATTACAAATAACTGTTAGTTGAAGTGTAATTTTGCTTCAAAATCTCTTGTGTTGACAACGACTTGGTAGTTTCTACTCTCTTCACGTGCAATGGTAACTTGGTAGAAATCAGTTTCGAATTTATTTTAGAAACACATCCTTGTCTTGTCATTATGCTAGATGAGGTTCCCGGGTCAAAAAGAGGTGATAGATTATAGAGATTTTACATGTACATGTAGCTATTGAAGTCAAATCCTTTGATCTTCATCGTTCAATACAATCATCCCATGCCAAACTCAGCCCTAATCCACTAAGATAAACCTCAAAAAGAAATTGAAATATGAAGATATTGACTGCATTGCGTGCTCTGCTCAATAAACCTTTAATGATGGAAAAGAGGTTTTTGTGTAATGTAGTGCAGCTGTAAGGTGACCTTTGTATATAAGCAGGTTTTATGTGGTGTCTTGTCTGTTACACTGAGCCTATGAAGATTCATCGATTCATCTTCTATGAATGCATCACTACACATGGACTTGATTAGTCCAGTCAGTCTGTGAGTCGGTTTGTCGGCCAGCTAGCCAGTCGGCTTGTCAGCGAAAGAAAAGGACTAACCTTTCATTGAGAATCATCATCAGACATAATGAGCTGCATTCTCACGCACAAACATCCTCATGAATGATCCTGTCAAGTTTATTCTCATTAATGGTAGTGATCACTGATTTGTAAATAAAATAAAAGTGAGACAACAGATATATATCATATATATATCATATATATATATCATTTATATATATATCATATATATATCATATAGATATATCATGTTCGTTCCCAGCTCAGTGAGGCTTATGTGTAACTGCTACTATTCTATGTAGTAGCTGTCAGTTTGAATACATGAAAATGATTCATGATCTTGTTGTTGGGTAATTTCTTACAATTCATGTTCAAGTATCATCAACATGGGAATGTATATGATGAAGAGATTAGTAAAAGAAAACTGCTGATTTTTACCTTTCATGAAAATGTTCATTCTTTCTAGATGTTATCTGTTATATGATGAAGATAAATATCTTATTGCCTGAACACACTTTTTAATGTCAACCTTTTACTATTTTTTGTCTCCTCTTGTACAGAACTTGGTCAAAAGGTCCCTTACAACGTGACCTACACAGTCCTGGGTGTGGTGGGACCATTGATAGCCTGTCTCATTGCACTGACCATTGCTGCATACTGCTTCAAACGTCGTCATCAGCAACGTATGGATGAGCTAAGCCATCAGGAAGCTCAGTATAGACAGGCTCATGATATCAGGGCTGTCCCTGCAGGAGATAGTACATTAAAGGTGGGTAGTCAAACAGGCTAGTCAACTAGGTTAGTCACATAGGTTAGTCACCCAGGTTAGTCACCTAGGTTAATCATGTATAGTAGGGGGACTTTGATAAAACTCTGGTCTTTATTAGATAGGAAGGTGACCAAGAGGATCTGTATAGACAGAGTGATAACAGAGCTGTTCCTCCTAGTCATCCAATGTACTCAACTAAGGTAGTGGGGTATGAGGGTTTGACTTAGAGAGGGGTCGTCAACTAAGATAGGTTAGTCACCTAAGCCAGTCAAGTATGGCAGGCATGGTTTACTATCAGAATACTGGGACCTATGTTAAGGCAGGCTCACACTATGACGAATAGGGGAGGGGCGGGGGGTAACGCAACCTACATTAAGCTGCAAATTACTATTTTGAATTTCCCGCCAATCATTGTGTGTTGCCTTCAATTGAATCCGCCAGCAATTGATGCTTGTTATCATTTTAAATTATTTTACAAAATCATTATGTGATAAACTCAGACACAAATGACCTGAAGTGTCTTGATTACCGAGATGTTATGCCACACTGTGACGTCAGCTTCTCCTTGACAGCACATGAATCACATTGTTAATAATCCCTTTATTTATTGGATGAATGTTTGGGATGTTGAGATTAGAAACCATAACCACTCTAGTACTTGTGGTTTTCATTTTTATTCTGGTAATACTTCAGATATCATGTAGATCAAAATGCAAAGTGCTTATTGAGACTTAATTCATGAATACCCGACATTATCTAGGAGATAAAATGTCTTTAGCGTACAGTGTTTTAATCCTAGATCAGGCTATCATGATTAATGAAGAAAATAATTTTCAACTCTGATGAAAATCATTAACTGTCACATTTCATGATAGAACGAAAGGAAGTAAAATAATATAATTATGGTTGTGATGCATTATATTTCATGTTTCAAGATTGTGGTATGATATTAAAAAGTATAATGCAGTTTTTTAAAGCTTCTACCCACCTTGAATTTTGTGGGCAAGCCTTCGTCCACTCCTGTGTACTTTCTCAGCACTGCCTGGTGTCTTGCGATCACTGAACCAAAGATAGGTGACAATAGGTATCCAGAGTCTCTATTTAATGTAGGCTTGATCCTCTTAATCCATATGGACTCTTTCACCTTTCTTGACCAGAAGTTGCTTTCAAAGTCAATAATGAGGGCATCCTCCCATCCATTATTATGTCCTGTGTTAAGGGCGTGTTCAGCTAAAGCTGAATGGGATGGGTTACTCAATATGAGAGCTTTTTTGTGTTCTTTTAATCGCTCACTAAGAGTTCTGCCAGTTTCCCCAACATAAGAATTGTGACAATCTGTCCAAGTAATCTTGCACAGAATGCCTGTCCTTTCCTTTGTTGGAACTTGGTCTTTTGGATGGACCAATCTACTTCTTAGCGTGTTAGGGCTTCTGAAGGCAACACTAATCTTGTCTTGGAATGCTAGTTTCAAGCGAGAGGATATAGTGTTAGCAAAAGGAAGGCCTACTCTGTTGTTAACTTCTTTCTTTTTCTTTTTTATGATATTAAAAAGGTTTTTAAAAATAAATAAAATACTGGTAGCAATTACTGCAGGCAGTAATTGCTACATGTAAAGCTTTAATTGTGTATGACCATGATATAGACTCAAGATGATTATTCAGGGTTCGCATTCTTATACTGTTTTCACACTGGCAATATTTTGCTTAACCCCGTACTATAGGTGGGGTTAAGGGGGGGTCTTATCCCCACCTTTAGTACGGGGTTAAGCCTATTCCGCTTTCTGTTCAGACTGGTTTTTACCAAAGTGGGCTAAAGTTGGCTAACCCTACCTATAGTACGGGGTTAACTAACCCTGCAAAATAGCAGGGCTAACTCCGCAATTGTGGTGCTAACTCCTGCTAACCCCGCAATTGCGGTGCTAAGCAAATGAATGAGAACAGAAACGAAAAATAGTCCGGTACTACGCAATGGAGCGTATCGCAGCTGGCCAGATGCGAAGTATGTCCAATCATAACATACACAATATCCGGGGTTAACGAAATGCAGTGAGAACAGCAGGAATTTTCTTATTCCGGAATAGGCGCTAGTACGGGACTAAAAACAGCGAGTGTGAAAAGCCAAAAAAATAGTCCGGAGTTAAGGATAGTATGGGGCTAAGCAAAGTACGAGGTTAAGCAAAACCAGTGTGAAAAGAGTATTAGGCAATGTTCATTTATTCACCATTTGAGATGACTGTATGTTCACTAATAAAAGAGTGCAATTGAACCCTTAAGTATGCAACCCACTTCCATATGTTAAGAGTTTCCTTTCATGATGGATCAATTATAAATGTGCCCTCTTTACAAGGGCAAATGTTTAGTATAGGAATACATAATGCTTCTTAGTACATTCACCTGTCTTTTGATTCACTACTATATTGACATCCTTTTTCATATCCTCTCATATAAATATAGCATCATTGAACAATACACACATCCCAGTGCTATCCTGTCAGTAGGAGTCTTTCTCTTTCATTCTCTTGGAAAATGAAATTGACTTCAGAGTCACTAATCTACACTTCCTCTTATTTTTTCCTGTTTTAATTTACTAGTTCTCCAGGGTTATTCTGTTTTGTAAGTACGCTGTCCAGCCCATAGGCAGGCACATGAGGATCTCCTCTTGCAGGCTTTCAGTGCATGCTTGAGATATAAAAACATCAAACTTGAGTGACATCATATAGGACGCTAGGATTAACTCATCAGAGCACATTATATGTAACACCTTCGTACTCTGTAAGCCTCATGTGAACTAATCCCATAAAAATCTAAGAAACAGTGATCTAACGTATGTTTTATCAACATTTGCTATTTTGCTATGTGCTTTATTTCATTAAAAATTTAGGGTTAGGGTTGAATTAGGATTTAGGTATACATACATGTAGGTTCCAGGGGTATATCTACAATGTCTACATGTATTTGGGAATTCCTATTTGTGTCTGAAAATGCATTATGGGGCAATGATGGTAGGACTAAATGTGTGGTACAATGCAACAAAAATGTATCCTGCTCCATGATACCTTTATAAATCTCTTTTGTGTTTGTATTTCTTGTAGGACCTGTTTGATCATTCTAATACATCTGGCAGCGGATCTGGGCTTCCCTACCTGGTGCAGAGGACAGTAGCCAGACAGATCAACCTGCTTCAACAAGTCGGTAGGTCACAATCTCTCACTCTCTCTCTCTCTCTCTCTCTCTCTCTCTCTCTCAAGACATTTGCCTGACTATTTATCTTTCTATGTTCCACATTTCAAATTGTCATCGTGGAATGGTCTCATTTCACCTAAATTCAGCATGTAACTTGACTATGTGTACATGAATGATCCATATTTTTATGGTCAAATTATGAACTTTCCCCCTAAAGAGTCAGTTACCCTATCATATTCTGGACTTTGTTCTCTTTTCTATAAATCTAGTAGGAACCATATCTCTATCAGCAGTTCCCAATTCTGTTTTTTTGTTGATATACCATGAAATGATGGAATATACATGTACATGTACATATATGGTAAACCATACCATTGCTGTTCCTTTAATACCTTTGTTTACAAACTTTACGTGAATGGTTTTGTATGCGTTATGTACAACCTCAGATGCATTTTGACATGTTTTAATTTCTTTCTGTCCATGTAGGTAAGGGTAGATACGGTGAGGTATGGATGGGTACATGGCAAGGTGACACTGTAGCCGTCAAGATCTTCAGTTCCATTGATGAGAAATCCTGGTTCCGTGAGACAGAGATCTACAACACCGTCATGCTTCGACATGAGAACATCTTAGCCTTCTTTGCATCAGACATGACCTCACGTCAATCCTGCACTCAACTCTGGCTTATCATGGAGTACCATGAACGGGGCTCCCTCTACGACTACCTCAACCGTCATGTGCTTGATGCAAGGCAGATGTGTCGCCTGGCGCTGACGGCCTGCAGCGGTCTTGTTCATCTTCATACCGAGATCACATGCAACAACAGCAAACCTGCCATCGCTCATAGAGACATCAAAACCAAAAATATTCTTGTCAAGAGGAACTTAACGTGTTGTATCGCCGACCTGGGATTGGCGGTCCTGCACACGCAGAGGGAGGATAATATTGATATGGGAACGAACACTAGGGTTGGGACAAAGAGGTACATGGCACCAGAGCTACTGGAGGAAACCATGGATGTCAGGTGCTTTGAATCATTCAAGAGGGTCGATGTATATGCATTTGGCTTGGTCATGTGGGAAATTGCTAGGAGATGCGAAGTAGGAGGTAAGTATTTCTATTTGATCTTTTTCACTGAATGCTAAGAAAGTATGCCCTTGCTCGCAAAGAGGGTGCATAAAGCCTGTCAAGTCGGAACAGGCACATCTATTTCAGGAGGAATGCTTCACCCAAGATCTCTAAGATGCTGACTATATCTCATTCTTTGTATGGATCTAATCAGTGTCTTTGTGACTATCTATTACCATGGATGAGCTGATGTGATCAGATATGTGACACGTCGGAATGGAGATACTGTGTGGAATTCTATTAGAGATTCGAGATTTACCAAAACTTTCCTCTCATCTCTCCTCACAAGATCCCCCTACCACAAAAAGAATAAAAGGGGAAAAAGCAATGGTGGTAGCAGAATGATTTTTATTATGTTTTTTAAAGTGATTTTCATTTCTTGTTAAATATTGAACAGTAAGGTATTGATGTGTTCATCTCCCAAAGCAAGCAGAAATAACTTTCCATTACTTTCTCTTCTTATTTGATTGTATTTTTTGCAGGTATGGTAGCAGATTACAAGCCTCCGTTCTTTGAGTATGTACCCAGTGATCCAAGCTTTGATGATATGAGGAAAGTTGCTTGTATTGAGAAACTCAGACCAAATATACCAAACAGATGGACCAACAATACAGTAAGATATTCTTCTTTCATATATCATCTTTTTAGTAAATTTTCTTATCCATGTCCTTCATTGTTAAAGTTGTTCTAAACAGTTGTTAGTACCAGAAGAGCATTGCAATTTCTTAACATGTACATTCATGAGGATAGTTTACATTAACTATACTATGAAATTCTGTTCATGCATGTAGCTTTTAGATAATCTGGACAGATTGAAGTCAGAAAATGGTGTTCTATTTTTTATTCTATTTATCAGCAGCACCCCATATCACAAGTTTTTCTTGCTTTTGTTTCTGCTCATTTTGACAGAAAACTGTATTAATACTTAATGTCTTTGGGGAAAATTGTATATATATATGGATTTCCCTTGTATCTCTTTCTTTATGTGTGTTTGAGTAGTGATGCTGGAAACTTATGAACTACTTCATCATTGTTCCTCCTATTGTACAGGTGTTAACATCAATGGCCAAGTTAATGAAGGAATGTTGGTGTCCTACCGCTTCAGCTCGACACACCTCACTCAGGGTTAAGAAGACTCTCATGAAGATCTCTGAAACATGTCCCAAGCTAACTGATCCTTATCATTGGGAAAAGATCATCGCCTAAAACATCATTCATACATTCTACACTGTCATGAAGATCTCTGAAACATGTCCCAAGCTACCTGATCCTTATCATTGGGAAAAGATCATCGCCTAAAACATCATTCATCATACATTCTAAGAACTGCTTGCAATTCCTTGTTCAGAAGGGTAAAAGAAGTGGTAGGTTTTTACAGAGAGGACAGAGAAGTGACGATGAACATGTTCCTTGAAGATTTGCGAGTGATAGGAGGCAAGAATTGTGCTAATATTGTTGTCTCCTTGTATCTCCTGTATGTAATGAAGAGTGAACTCTGTTTGGCATTGGATGTGCCGTCATAGAGTTTCAAGCTAGATGAAAAGGTTTCATGATTGAATCATGAAGAGAACAAGCTTGGTAGCGCTATCATTGCTCTTTGGCTTCATGTTCCCAGTCCGGAGGTGGTAACTCAAAGTTCTGAAACTATCTTTCTTTTTTAGTGAGAGGTCTTTTATTTGTTACAACAAATCTGAATTATGATGAGTCGTTGGTTAATGACTGCATTAGGTGACTGCATATGTTTGTAGTCATACAAATATCAACACAAATCAATATGAAATCAATGATTCATTGTGATTTCAAGTTGTTATGACAATTCGAAACCCCTTAATTTTGCAAGTTTTTTGATCCGGGACAAATGCTTACCCAAAGCTGTCTTTGCTGAAGCATGTACAGAGAGATATGCAGATGATATGTCAGGCTACAAGGATTATGTTTGGAAGGAATGTGGAAAACACAGTAGAGGGAATTAACTGGGCAGTAATAACAGTATTGAGAAAAAGTAAAGAAAACAGGAAAGTTAAGTGTACAAAATGTATTCAACCTACAGTGACCCAAGCAGAAATGTTGGAGAGGATGGAAGGCTAAATAGTACACTTGCCTAAGCTCAATCGCATTTGAGTAATGGATCAAACGGTCACCTTGCATTAATTACAAAGTTTATCATTGATATATTATCAGAGTAGAACCTCTGACTGACCTGTCTATATATCACAGATGTGGCATGTCTTTTTAAGAATTGATGCCTGTGTTTTATATAGAGTCCTGTAAATAGAGTAACCTTTGTATATAGACCAAGAAATTATTGCTGAATGTAAAATTTGAATTCTTCAGAGGGTATTATGTTGCTTTGTACAGCTAATGTAAATGCATCATGTATTGTTAAATGTTTTGGCTGTTTGGAGGGAGCTATTGCTTCTATCAATTTGGCAGTGAATTGAATTATCAAACAATTATTATGTGAAATGACAATTACCAAATTCAAAATATAAATGTTAGTATCAGTTGAAAATGTGTAGTTATGAAAGTTGAGTGTCTTTTTCAGACAATGTAATCTGTATTTTTGGTAATTCTCAGAAACAGTACCCATATCTTCGGTTATTTTGATACTGCATCAATATAAATTTGTGTGGTTTCCAAACATTTCACTGCTTGCTAAACACAATTTTATTCATTTTTTTTCCCGATAAAACAATCATCTCTATTTCTAGTATAGCATCTTTGAGGCATAAATAGAGTTACTGAAAAAGAAAGACTTCATTTGAAAAGAAGTACCTTAATATAAAATGTGAAAATCACATCAGAATAGCAGCAGCAGTGTAAAAAATATTGTTGCTAGAGTGGTATGAATAGAATATTGTTTTAGATGTAATGATGGATTATTGTATGGATTCCTTGTTATATCAGAGATTATCTGTGTAGTGGAAGTTGATCTTTTATTTGTGCCTTTCTTTTTATATCATTTCATTTCATCAGATGGCATGCATTTCTGGGTATTATGTACATGCTGACATCAGTTTTTGTATTTATTATTGTTACTTGCCTTTCAATCTTAAAAAGCCAGTCATGGAATGTGTATTTATGTGTTAAGTGAAGATGGAATCTATCCAAGTAAACGTGAATGATATTTCTTCTTTGGCATTACTTAGGTGGTCAATTTCAGCTTCCTAATCTGTGACTTTTCATTTTCCCCACTCAAGCACAAAACTGCCCCTACTTGCTTGTAAGAGGCTTTCTTTTTGGAATACTTGCTATCAGACAAATAATGCTAGTCAAAGTTTCAAGATGACTTGTGAAATACTGAAGCAAGTTTTTAAGGACTTTATTGAGAATTTTGTTCGATGGAAGTAGTAAATATACAAGGATCATGTACTTGGAAGACATGCTCTGAATTTCTCACTGCGCATGAGCAGAGAATTGGGAGGTATGCATGTGGATGTGACAAATGGAAAGTCACAATGTCCTCCTGGTCAAAAAGCTAGGACTAATTAACAAATAGCTTGCTTCTCTTTTCATGTATGACTCCCCCAATGAGGACATTATTGGATAATCATTCTGGTTACAGTATTGCTAGGTATTCTATGCTTTAGGAGAACTTTCTCAAATTCATGTGACTCTTGTGTTTCTTTCTGTCTCTATTTTCTCTGACTCTCCATTTCTCTGCTCTGTCTTTCTTTCACTCCGTCGTTCTCTTTGTCTGTCTCTGTCTGTCTCTGTCTGTCTCTCGTTCTGTCTCTCTCAGTGTCTCCTGCTCTCTGTCCTATGTCTGTTGTATGGACATGGAGACTCCCACCTGTCCCATCTTCTCTATCAACA